TACTTTTTTTTTACTTTTACACGGGAATTAAGTAGCCGCGATAAAAAGCCGTTGAAAAAGTAGTTCGCTTTAAAACACGTTCTCCCCCACTGTCAAGGTCGCTCGAAGGCCGTATGCCCACAAACGTGCACCTATCTTTTCTTTTTTTTCTTTCTTTCTTTTTTTTCTTTTTTTTTTTTTCTTCTTTCTCTTGCTCGGTTACTCGCTCGAAAGATCAACGACCTCTTTCAACGGACGAAGACGCAAGATAGATAGGAGACACCGGAATGAGAAGAAAGAGAGAGAGAGAGAGAGAGAGAGAGAGAGAGAGAGTGTGTGTGAGAAAGAGGGGGAGGGGGAAAGTTGAAAGAAGTGGCATTCGCGCGAAAAATTTCAACCACGCGTCATTTGCTCCATCGCGCAGCATCCATCTTCAATTTTATTCGATATACTTTTCTATATCTATTTTGTGACATTTTTTTCCCTCATTTACGCGACACACCGTTATTACAAATCTAAGAAACGAATTTGGATTATACACACATCTAATTTTTCCGATTTATTAATTATTGTTTGTTTACCGTATAGCAATTGATTTTTGTAGATGAAAGTTGCACGAATACAATTCGTTGATAGTTAAGAACGAATTTAATAAAATGTCGATTTTATTATTACAAATCTTTTTTTTGGTTTTACACGTATTATATTTAACGTTGTGTGAAAATATTATTATTATAATCCAATATTTTATAAGAGAAATATCATATATAAATATATATCTAGGTCTACGAATAAATGTATTTAGTATTACACGAATCTTACGTGTTGTGTTGGGGTTTGGCGGGTTAAAAAAAATCTTATGAGAGAAGACCATAGGTAATACGATTTGTCACGAAAATCCTTTTACCTTTACTCGTGTATTCGTGGCACTTTAAAAAATAGGGATGAAAGTGAGAAAGATTAAGGAGGGGATGTTTCTTTCGGTAAACGAAATGAAACGAAACGAAAACAAATCAATAAAGTGTGAAAAAATATCGAGAAAATAAATATCGTTGTTTAAATTCTTAACTGATATTAAAATGTGCCGATCTTTCGGTTTATCAATTAAGCGAGGATTTCAACACACCGAAAAATTGGCACATTTTTCATTTATTTTCATAATTTCTTCTTCTTTATATAATTTAAAATTTTTTTTAATAATTTCTTCTTCTTCACATATAATTTCTTTAATATATATATATATACATTTACGCAAGTACTTATTTAAACAAAGAGATAGAGAGATATATTATAGATAGATAAATAAAAAGAAAGAAAGAGAAAGAGAGGCCCCCCGGGGACTTATAGATTTTTATTAAAGTAACCATACTCACTTAGTTGCCAACCAAAAAATCTGCAATCATTTAGTTGCCAACCCAATACTTACAGTACAATTTTTCGTATTTTAACGTATTGTAAGTTTTTTTTTCTATTTTTTGTTCCCCCCCCCCACCCCAATATCACTCGATCCAATTGATTCGATTTTCGAGACGTAATTATTACGTTGTTATATAAACTTTTTAAAAGTAATCAAAGAGAAAGAAGAAAAATTAATTACTCGAGAACAATTATAAGATGATAAAAATAAATGCAATCACTTAGAGCAAACTACTTTTCTCTCTCTCTCTCTCTCTCTCTCTCTTCAATATCGTAAACATTTCTCAGAAAGATTCTCAGGGAAAGATTTTCGTCACAATTTCTCTACCAAAGCGATAAGTAAATCCTATTGCTCTGACAAATCCCATTCCGATAGTGGAGAATTTCTTTATCCTTAAGAGAAAGTCGAAGCACGAAGATGCTTTTATCGGAAGCAAGCAAAGAGAAAGAGGGAGAGGGTTTTCTCTCTCTCTCTCTCTCTCTCTCTCTCTCTTTCTCTTATTTTTTGTCTTTTTTATATTGAAGCAATTTCAACGTCCTTAAGGAGATTATTTTGCTCAAAGAGGGGAAAAGAGAAGAGAAAAGTTGAGAATAGGTGATGCTGCATACTCTCTTTCTCTCTCACTCTACCTCTAATTCTCTCTCTCTCTCTCTCTCTCTCTCTCTCTCTCTTTTCTCGTTTATTCCTTCCTGGTTTTATGTACGTAACACGCGAGGTTGCTCGTACGAAGAAAATAGAAGACAAGGCAAGGCGAGAATCCCACCCATCGTGCTTGCTATGTTAAGACTATCCAAAGTTAAAAATATCCATACGGCGTAAATGGTAGGCGTAATCGTATAAAAACAACAAACAACACAGAATAAAATACAGGTAATTTTTCTATTAATCAACGGTAAACAGATTCCTAAAAAATGCCGTGTTGTATGAAACTGTGTTATAAGAAACCAAGAGTTTATTATTCCATTAATATTTTAATGTTATTCAATTGTTAAATATGTTTAACAAAAATCATCATTATGTGTGTGTGTGTGTGTGTGTGTGTGTGTGTGTATGCTGTAGAAGTACATTAGTAATCGTATAGAAATTTTTCTCGCAATTTTCGTGTCATCATATCAAAGTAATATTAATTGGTTAAACAAAAAATTGATCATCATTATTATCCAATATTGTAGAAATACAATAGTATCGTACAAAAAAGTTTATCTTTAGCAATTTTCTTATCTCGTTGCATGAGAGATAAAACGACATGTGTCGTAGAAAGTGCTACCTGTATTATACAGGTAAACGAAAAGAAATGTTAGACAATAATTAATCAAACGTTACTCTTGTTGTATCATATTATTATTATTATTATTATTATTATTATTATTATTATTATTATTATTATTATTATTATTATTATTACGTTTCATTATTCTTCCTTATCATCTTTACTTTATTACAACATCGATAAATATCCGAGAATTTCTTAATCGTTGGACGTAAAAGATAAGAGCAGAGAATAGAATATAGAAGAGAAGAAGATGGAAGAGGAAAGGAAAGGAAAGGGTCGACAATATTTCTGGTAGCGAGGCCGACGCACCGTGGCCCAGTTTAATCCTCCCAACCAGAATGATCCGAGACACAAGTTACAGCTGCGAGCTTTCGTATACATTCTGTGGCCTACTTACGATACATACCACCACCACCACCACCACCAACACCACCTCTACGTCGACCATTTCTATTTCCCCAAGAAGAAGAAATAACAAAAAAACAAAAACAAAAAGAAGAAGAAGAAGCTGTGTTCCAAAGTGAACAAAACCACGTAGAACCATATACGACACAACCAACCAACCAACCAACCAATTTTACCCCCTATTCATTTTTTTTATCCTTCATTCGAGCAAATCAATTTTCTTCGAGAAAATTCTTGTTTCATAAGGAAGTTTAAATTGAGATTTAAGAAAAGTAGGAGAGAAATAGAGATAGATAGAGGACGATGAGATAATTGCTTATCGATTTCTAGGGATTAATTATTTACGTAATTAATCGCGAGATCACCGTTATCGGATTATCTATGATCGTTGTAATCTACCCTATATCATATTAGTTATCGTTAGATCGAAAATATACTCGCGTATATTGATATTTATTTTTTCCCCTAACGTTATCTCTCTCTTTCTCTTTTTATCTAAAGAGAGAAAAGGAAATAGCCTTGGTTGGCTCGAGATCTCGATGCAATCCGAAGGTCGTTGGATAACGTCCAAGGGAACCGTCGACGAACGATCATGCTTTAGTTGTAAAAAGATACATACACGTATGAAAAAAAAACGGGGTGGATACACACTGTGATAAGTTCTAGGTATCTACAATTTTAGAAAACGTATGTAGTACACACACGCCGCGTGCATTGTCTCTCTTCTCTTTTCCTAGAATCGCAACAGAGGGAGGAGTGTTCCTCTCGTTCCTCTTCGACGAGATAAAAGGGATTACTTTTTTCCATTTTTCTTCTTTTTTTTTTTCCTTTTTTGTATTCACGCGCGATCGACGGAGCATCAATCTGTCTATATACTGATAATATATATATATATATTTATATAAAGTTCCTTTCAACCCTCTGAACACGTGAAAGATAGTGAGAACGTTGCAACATAAATAAACGATTAAATAAATACACGCTTTTTATAAATATCTTTGTACAATTTTTCAACTCTACTTTAATACAAAGGAAAGGAAAATAATCTGAAAAAATTTTCAACGTTCAATCAACGTTTTCTTCTATTACCTTTTTTCTTTTTTCTCTTCTTCTTCTTCTTTTTGGATATATAATTGGTAAATTATTTGAAGAATGTAAAAAAGAAAGAAAAATACAGGAAAGGAAGTAAAGTTATAAAAGAGATTCGATAAACTTTCACTCTGATGTTTTAATATACGATACTCTTTTTCTATTTTTCATCCAATTAGGGTGGTAGGCTTGAGGTTAGAACGATTCTTCGAGCAAACCGAGTGTGA